ATGTATTGTTAGATTATAAAGGCAAATTAATAATTATAAATTTCTCAGCACAATTAAAAATTAAATATTTCATACTCTTTGACAGAATATTCCTAATGGGGTTACAAATTAAATTAAAGTATAGGTTTTGAAAATAGATGAGAGGTCTTTGTAATTTTAGTAAAATGGAAGGGAGGTAATTGTATTTTTATTCTAAGATTTAAAGACCATTTTGCACTCTTAAGAAAATACTTGTATAATTATCTGTTTTTGAGTGAGAAATTGACAATAAGTATTATGCATATTTTTTATATATGATATTTCCCATCCATTCGACACGAGTTAAATACATTTATGTTTAAGAGAGAAACTCTGGTGCTTTAAAGAAATTGTAGCTATGGAAAGTTATGCAATATTCTCTAACTAGAATTTAGCCTCGTGTGATGCATGGGAGATAGGAAAATCTTAGTTTATTTAATTTAAGCATTATATAGGGGAGAGAAGTGGCAGAATATTTTGGTTTATTTAATTTAATTTAAGCATTTAAAAAATATAAAAAGTATATTTAAAAGTTTCTTTTTCCAATTTCTCTACTTTTTTCTTATGTATTTTCTTAATTAAAATTTTATAACTTTATTTATTCATCTTTTGTAGATCAAACTTCTTAACATCTTCCATCCCCTTTTCTCCAGTGGACCGATAATAAGGTTAATAAGAGATAATTGCATTTTTTTTATGATGTTAAATAAATCACGTGACCATCAAATAATTTTTTGTGTTGACCATAGGCCTAAAAAATGTTTAAAACTTTTTATAAATTTAGTGGAGTATGTGATCTTAGCATAATATGGCTTAACAAACCACATAGGCACGTTTGATGCATTCTATAAGTTGTAAGGCTTTTTATATCATCTCACTATTTATAAGTGATGAATCTTTTATGTTAACATAAAATAGTGCATTTTTCTTTTAAAAGTCAAAAGAATAGATAACTACGTTATGAAAATATTAGCATATTTTTATTTTTAAATTAATAGGATTATTTTTATTTTATTTAGATGCTAATTAATAATCAAAGAAATTAAGGGAAAGATTTATAATATATATAGAAATATATATAGATATAGATGTACACTGCTTTACCCAAAGAAGCACACTTCCTCCAACCAGAATCTTGCGGAACACATAGCAAAAGTGTTGATGGCTGGCTGCAAGACTAGCTAAGAATACATATAAAATAAGAACATGACTGTAAAATTGTTTTTTGCAAGTCTTCAATTTAAATTCAGTCAGAAGATCGCAAGCAATCTTGAAGAAGTTGTTAATAAGTGATAAAATGATAATTTGTTTGACTTGAGCTTAAGCAAATTAATAGTATAATATTTTTCAACGATAATAAAAATATTAAATTTAATATTTTTCTTTTTTTTTTGGTTATTTTGTTCTTGCTAAATAAATGATTCAAAATATTTTTTTGGTTTTTTTAGTGTCCAAAATAAATTATATTTATTTGTTCCCTACATGCATTATCAATTTTTTTTTTTACCTTCGTTGAATGTCTTAAAATATACCAATAGTGAAAGATCATCATCAATTTATACGTGTGTAAGAGAGACACAAATGAAAACAAAATTCTATCCCTTCAAACTGTCTTAGTGGTTGTTCGAACTCATTTTAAGCATGTAAAAAATACTCTCTGGATTATTTATTAATGTTTATTAAATTGCTAAAACATTTTAGATGGGCTAACTGCCTTGAAACATTTAAAATTTGATATAAACCCTTATAATTAAAGGGCTACTATTCATCTTTGCTCATGAACTTTCATGGAGGGATGCAAGGCACTCTATATTAATAAGTAGGGTAATTTTTTTTCTAAATCGTTTTTACAAGAGGCGAAAAAACCTCTTTCATTAGCGATTTGTTAACTTTGTCTTTTCTACTGATGTGACATGTGCGTGAAATTCATGTACAAAGACAAACAATACTCTAATCATGTATTTTAATACTAATTTATCTATGAGCCTTTTTTTAAAGAGCATTGAATACTCTAAAGTCTTTTTAAGGAGTGTTAAATATCTTAAAATATTGTCAAAATAAAATTTAATAAATATTATTAAAATATTAAGTATTTTAATATTTAATAATTTAAATATTATTACTTATAAATATTCATCCAAAATATACAAATCATTTTTTAAATATTAAATCTCAAAATAGTTTTTCAAAAATTTATAGATGACTTGAAATTTTTTATATATCAATTATATTTTTAACATCGATTAAGTTTTTTAAATTTTTTAAGTTCCTCTTTGCAATTTTTTTTGTCAACTAACTGTCTTCTTCTAAAATATTACACCATTCAAATTTAATATTTAAATTATTAAATATTAAAATATTTAATGTATTAACAATAATTTTTAAATTTTATTTTAACAAAACTTTAGGGTATCCAGAACTGTTGGAAAAGAAATTTAAAGATAAATTAGTATCAAAAGACATGGTCATTGTCCTACTTGTCATTGGCATGGGTCATATACCCGTGCCACATCAACAGAAAATGACAAAGTTAATGGGTGATTAACATAAATGTTTTTTTCTCCTAAAAAGAAATAATTTAGCAAAAAACTTTAGCATCCCTAATGTTCCCGGAAATGGACTTCAGGATGTCTAAAACTTTTAAAGTGCAGGGACAAATTAATACTAAAAGACATAATTAGAGTCTTACCTATTATTGTGCATGGGCCTCATATTCATGTCATAATAGAAAATAATAGAGTTAATGGATGACTAATGGAAAAAGTTCTTTTTCTTCTCGAAAAAAATATTCAATAAAAAAATTGCCTCATTTATTAATACAAGGCACCCAGTATTCTTTAAAAAAAGTTCATAGATAAAAATGGACATTAACCTTTAATTGAATTACATTTAAAATTCCTCGTGTCTAAAATTTTAAAAATCACATTTAACTTTTAAATTTTGACCACTTATCACTTCCTGTTAAAATATTGCTAGATTTAGTAATTTGATACTAATACCACTTAAATTAAATTAACCAATTGATCATAATTTTGTGTCACAGATCTCGGATATATATATATAATTATGTTTGCTAAGAATAACATATTTTGTTTAGACCCAAAAAAGATGAAGAAGAATGAATTATTTACTTTTCCTAATTTAAAATATAAGGTTAAATGTTTATTTTTATTTTTAATTTTTTTTCGAGAAGCATTAGACATTCTATACTGATAAATGGGATAATTATGCTCTTGCATTATTTTTTGAGCAGCAAAAAATTTATATGTTAGTCAATTATTAACTTTGACATTTTTTACTAATGTGGCATGTTTTACTAATGTGGCATGTTCATAGGCACACATGCAATGACATGTGGGAAAAATTCTTACATGGACTTAGTACACCTCATCATTTATAAATTATCTAATAAAAACATGACATTTCATGTGACTATAATTATAAATTGATACTACATTGATAGTAATAGAGAAAGAAAAGATAAAAAATTAAAGAGATACCATATATATTCTAAAAAAATAATCATTAGAAATAATGACGTATAAGATTTTATTTGATTGAAATAGTGTAATTTTATTAAATGGTCTACAAATGACTTGTTGCATTGGTTTTGTACAAAAATTTTTCACAAGTTGGATTCTAACCATGTTCTTTAGTGTCAATTTGTCTTTAATTTTATTTTTCAAGAAGGTTGGGTAAACCTTATTAAAATAAAATATAATAAATATTATTAAATTATTAAATATTTTAATATTTAATAATTTAATTATAAAATATTCAATCAAAATTTATAAATCAGGGACTTGTATATAAAAATTGTATTGTATAAAAAGATCAACTGAATATGACACACATGATAATAGTTTGGCCCCATAAACATTATTTCAAAATTTAATTCCTGAACGCTAAAATTGCTTGAGAAATTAGTTTTATAGTTGTCACTTACAATATATCTTGAACGACTTAAAAAAGTGAAACATTAAATAAAGAAAAAAAAAAACAAAAAGAGAAAAGCAATTTTTGAAAAACAAAGTACTCCTCCGAATTACAATATATAATATTTTTTAAAAATTTTATTTAATTTAAAATATAAATTATTAACTAATTTTTATAATTATTTTTTAATTATATTCTTTCATTATTTATTATTCTTTTCAAAAAGATAATACATTAAAATTTAATGATCAAGGTATTTATATAAAATATTTAATTAAGGTAAAATTACGAGGATATAAATTTTTTTAAATATTAAAGTTTTAACTAGTATTTTTTAAAAATTATAAATTAGTAATTAATGTATCCAGGATATATAATTAATGATTTTTTTTTTTAATATCAGAGTCCCATGTTCTGAACACTGGCACGTCGCACGTGTAAGCTAGAGCCCGATGGGATCGCACAGAGAAGTGGAGAACAGTGGGAGGGGAGGACGGTTCCGACTGCAAAGCTGCCAAATTTCATGTTGCTGCACTCTGCAACTTCAAGTCCCTCTTTGTTGACTCTTGCTTCCGTGTATGGACTATGGACCCTTCTCTCGGCTCCAACAAGCGCCCACCTGATTGCACCTTCGACCTCCCTACTCCGACCCCCAAGCGCCGCCCCCACCCTCCGCCAGCTCCGTCTCCTTCCGCCCCTTCTTCCTCCGACGTCGTCTTCCGTATTCTATGTCCGGCTTCTAAGACCGGCGCCCTCATTGGCAAGGGCGGTTCTGTCATTCGTCACTTTCGAGAGCTGACCGGAGCCAGAATTCATGTTGATGACTCTGCTGCTGCCTCCTCCGATGAGCGTATCATTGTTATTGCTGCTAGTCCCGGCTTTGTTTATGCTGCTGAGCAGCAGCAAGGTACCCTTTCTTCTAACAATTCGAATTCCGGCGGCGGCGATGGCGATGATGGCTCGCCTGCACAGCAAGCTTTGATTAGGGTTTTTGAGAAGATGGCGAGGGTGGACGAGGACAAACCTGAGGACAATATTAATAATGGTGGTGGAAGTGAGACTAAGAATTCGGTAACTTGTAGGTTGCTGGCGCAGAGTAATCAGGTTGGATGTGTGCTTGGAGAGGAGGGAAGATTGTGGAGAAAATAAGGCAGGAGACTGGGGCTCAGATCAGAGTTTTGCCCAAGGATCAACTCCCAGCTTGCGCATCTCCGGGAGATGAGTTGATTCAGGTGGCGCTTTTCTTTACTCTCGGTCTCTTGATTCTCCAGTCCTGTTTTCTGAAATGTAGGTTCAGTATGTCAATTTAACTACATTTATTTGCAAATCCACGTTTGAATGTTTTATGTACCCTGAATCAGCTGAGTTTTAACCCAGTATTCATAAACATGGCTAGAAGATGATAAGCATGATTATTGCACAGCTCTTAGGCATAAATGGCTACTGACTGCATCATTTTCTTCCTTGTATCTTTGTCTTTGCAAATGCAAAAGAACTCCCTCAAGCATATGGGACAAATCTAAGTTAAAGGAATTTGCGGAAAGTAATGTACAAAGTGGCATTTGAGGAAGGGGCTTAATGATTGGAAAGGAAAGGGCAGCCAGTGGCCATGCTGGGCCTTGAGGCTTGTATATACTTACATATGAGGCGTAATATCTAAAAGGATATTCCTTGTTCAAGGCGTTAGTGTTACTTTTGGTGATGGCTTTATATACGTATTCACTGGGAGGGACGTTCCAAACTGGTTGTGCATTATTTGAAACAACCTTCGGAGATCCAATTTATAGTGTTAATTATGTTTTGGTTGGGATTACTGTGTTACAAGATTACTACTTAATTCTTAGATCTATGCCTTGGGGGATCACCAGTGTCTTGCTTCCCTGTTATTTAACTATGCTGCCTTGCTCTGCTTAAATCATGAAAAATTTACAAAGGAGGGCTATGCTCAGCAACTGTATAACTCTTCATTTCATGTGCAATGTGGATTGTGCATGGGAATATTTACATTAAATGCCTCAGATATCATCACTTCTCAATTCTCATACACATGCACCACTGCATAATGCATGTCTCCAGTTGATGAATTTTCTATTTCAGGAGATAGCCATCTTCTTTACATCAAGAACTGAAGGATGATGTGTACATGTCAAATGTGCAGCTGAAATAATATGTTTAAAGGGAATGTTAACCGGAAAAAGGGAGAAAGTGTAACAGGCTGTTAGGGTTGCTTAAACTTGGAAGGTCTATTTGTGAAATGCCACTTGTCATGGAATTGATGTTTGCCTTTTGTTCATCATACAACCAAAACAAAATCTTAAGATAGTTCCAGTGACCCTTGTGCTCTAGATATACTAATTTTCCCTAAAGAAACAGAGTCAAAAGAGAAATTGCAATCCCTAGAACGGATAATGCTTAAATAACCAGACAAACTAAAATCATCAATATATATAAATTTTCGAGGAACCTGACCTGATACTGTGCTGAAGCTGCAATAAGTGCTGGTTCCTCTCCTCGTACTGCATCCTGGTGTTGTGCAATTGTTGTTTTCCTTTTTCCTTAAAAATACAAGTTTTGGCAGCTATCCACCTCTCTAGTTGTGATAAAAAGGGTGTATTTAGGCATTCAATGACACCCTATGAAATTAGCATGTAAGTTTTCTCTCTAACAGCTGTTTCTCAAATTACTGTCAGTAATTAGAATATGTTCTGTTCAAACAATAAATACAACAACAACAAACAACAACAACAAGCCTTTATCCCACTAGGTGGGGTCGGCTACATGGATTGCAAGACGCCATTGTGCTCTATCATTTATTGTTCAAACAATAAATATGCTGCCTAAAATAAAGATGATCGTCCAAAATTCTAAATGGGTAGAAACTATCCCCGCTATTTAAAATTCACCATTTTTGTTGTTTTTGTTTGGAAGCCAGTGTGTAAAATCATCTCCCTTAAAATTATTATGAATGCTCTATCTGATATGCTACATGGTATTCATATAAGCTAACATTCAAACAATTACTCATTCAAAGTTCTTGAATAATTTTTTATCCTTGCCTGAGGCCATTGGCGCACTAACTTCTAGCTAGAATTGATCATGAAATAAACCATTGAAAAATATTTCCTGTAGAATATTTATAATCCCAAGAGATTATGTCCCAGTTTCTACTTTTTTTGGTCAATAATTCCGTTTCCGCATTTAAAATCTCAAATTTTGAAAGGGGGGAAAAATGAAGAAATGCTTCAGGCCACCCCCAAGCCTGCTCAGTTAGGGCCAGGTGTAAGCAAAGACAAGTTGTGATTGTCAGACTGTATTACAGCTGTGTATTCCTTATTCAACGTACTGCATTCATTCCTTTCTTTCCATAATGAATCTTTTGATGCTTTTAATATCAGGAAAAAGATGCGTTAATTATGATGGTCGATCATTAAATTAAAATATCCTTGTAAGGGTAGTTATGGTTGTTATTCTGTTATTGTAGCTAGAGACTTAGTCTGTTATGCTATCCATCAGGCATGTATAAACCCCTCTAGTGAATGAAATAATACATAATTTTCTGAATTCTTACATACAATCCTTAATTTGTGCTGTTTGTCAATTTCACTATTTTCCAATTTTGCATTTATTTCCACAAATTCCCCTTTTCTTGATGATTTCCCCTGTTTTCTTCTTTTTTATCACACAGTAATCTTGATGTCATCTTATGGTTTATGCAGATAGCAGGACACCTGACAGCAGTAAAGAAGGCACTCCTCTCTGTTTCAACTTGTCTTCAAGATAACCCAAGGGTTGATGCTCTCAACTCTGGTGCTTTTAAGCCTTCTGGGGGACCCCATGGAGCTGCACCGCCTGCACAGGTTGATCCTTATCCTCACCGGGGTTATGCATCTGGCATATATGCTCATGATCATCATTCCAGAGGTTATTCTTCTTTTCCAGGGCCTGCAGGCATTGGGGCTGGTCATCGAATGTTTGTGGAAGAGGATGTTGTCTTTAAGTTGTTGTGTCAACAAGATAAAGTTGGTAGTCTTATTGGGAAAGGTGGCTCTGTAGTGCGGTCTTTGGAAAGTGAAACTGGTGCATCTATCAAAATTGCTGATTCTGATTCAGATGAGCGTGTGGTTGTCATATCTGCACGAGAGGCATGAGATCTTAACCATCTTCAGTCGCAATCCTTTTGGTGCTTTGTGGGGAAAATCTGATTCTTGCAAGCATAACAGTGGGGAAATAATGTGTTTTCTTGGTTCAATTCTTTCATGCTTTCTGTGTTACTGACACTCTTGCAAGCACATCCTTTTTTTTTTTTTATGTTGAGTTACCTGAAGGAAATAATTTTGCTAAATTTGGCGGCTAAATTTTCTTATATAATTCTCCGTTGGTGGGAGAAATAATTTTGCTATATTTGGTGGCTAACTTTTCTTATATAATTCGCCATTGGTAGGGGAAAATTCTGCTGACTTAATATTTTTCCAAAAAATATGCCTGCTTATTGATTTAATGTCTTAAAGTTGGCCTGCACTTCGTAAGTTGTTTGTTGAGATTATTATCAGTTGGCTTGCATGTGTCAAGTTTTCTCTGTCTTCCTTTCTTGCTTTCTTTATTTTTTTTTTTTAAGTTCTTTGATCGGATAGTTGAAGTATGCTTGGTTTCTTCTATAAGAAATCTCTTTACCACTTCATGTTTTGATTAATTCCATCTTCAGATTGGTTATTTTGTGAATTGCTGGTTATAATATTTTGATTATGATAATTTATAAGTTTATTATTAATTTCCTTGTAAACATGCGTGGGAGAATTAGAGTTTTTGACTTTTTCATAGTATGCCTAGTTTATAGTAATGATGTTGCGTTAAATATTCTTTTACAATCTTCTGCAGAATCCAGAGCAAAAGCGTTCCCCTGCACAGGATGCTGTTATTCGTGTCCATTGTAGACTTGCAGAGATTGGATTTGAACCAGGTGCTGCCATTGTTGCTAGGCTTCTTGTACATTCTCAGCAGATAGGTTGCCTGTTGGGCAAGGGAGGTTCTGTTATCTCTGAAATGCGAAGAGCCACTGGTGCGAATATACGTATTTTTCCTAAGGAACAGGTTAAATGTGCTTCCCAAAATGAAGAAGTTGTACAGGTAATTGACACTTCTGGAATGTATGATACTCAACAAATCCATGTTTGATTCAAGAAAGGTTGCTGTATTTTATTTTCCTTGGAAATAACTGATGAAAAGACTAAATAAAGAACATTTGGTTGGTTAGTTAGTTGCTGCAGAGAATACAGGATTTGGGAACCTGTACAAGGGACCCTAATTGTCATCGTGGGCTACGCTTACGATTGAATCTGAAAAGTATTGTTTAGTCTCTATCCTCTCTTCTATCTATCTCTGTTTCTTCTTTCTATTTCTCTTCTGTTGTCTCTCTCTTCATCTCCTTCTACCACGTCAAGTGGTATCCAAAGCCCCTTTTCCTCAGCCTTGCATGCCCAAGATTCGCTCATAGACTACGTCCCAAAGAATGCCAAACAGAATGATGAAAGAGTTCGTACCTTAGAGATCCAATTGCAGATGTTGATGGCTCAGGTTGCTCAGCTGACTTGCACCATGGATGAATTTCATAGCAGCCAGAACTTAGTGAACAATGACAGAAGCGACCATCGACCAAGAAAGGAGCACCATGATTACCAACTTCCAATGCGTTTCACTAAGATGGAGCTTCCTAGATTTCAAAGAAGCGATGTTCTTGGTTGGATTCTAAAATGTGAACGCTATTTTCAGATGATGACACACCTAAAGGATGGAAGGTTATGATGGCTAGCATCCATCTAGATGAAAAAGCATTTCAATGACATCAAGCTCTTGAATGTACTTGCTGGGGGAGAGCGATAAGATGGGAAGAATATGTGGAGGCTATCAAGAAGCGTTTCAGGCCTACCTATGAGGCACCCATGGCTGAACTAATGAGACTTCAATAGAATGGGAGTCTTGGTGACTACAATGACTCCTTCGATGAAATCACATGTAAACTTGACTTAGCAAAGGATCATCTGGTGCAGACCTATCTTGAAGGCTTAGATGTAAGGTTTGCTGGACCTGTCGGTTTACTAAAGCTAACTATCTCCAGGATGCTCAACTTCTTGCAAGCTTGCAGGAGATTCATTTGACAAAGTTGTATGTTGAGTACAAAGGTGTCAACAAAAGTAGGAGAGATGGATCGTATTGGGCTGGTCTGTTGGGTCCTCCTCCATGCATCTCACAATTGTCCGGAAGGTAGAAGGATACAAAAGTGGCAGATGGAGATGGTGGGTCCCATTTCATTAGGGACAAAAGTGTCTTTGGCTGCTTCCTGTTTCTTCAAAAAGAGGTCCTGTTTCCTCTATTTCTTCATCAGTTGGTTCTTCTTCTCCAACTGATATGAGAATCATAAAGACACTGAGCCCAGCAGATATTGATGAGTTTCGTGCCAAGAATCTCTTTTCTATTGCCACAAACCCTTTTTCAGAGGTCATAGGTGTTCCCCAGATAAGCAAATGCAGATACAGCTTATAGAAATTCTGCCTGAATCTGAAGAACCGATTTCAGCTGATAATGGGCAGTTGTTATGAGATCACGGAAGTCCTGGTGATGCAAAGGGGTCTTTGGGATAAAGAAAAAGATAGATGGTTTTTATTTTTCAAAGCTGTAGCATCAGTTCAGGTTTCAGTGTAGAAAACCCTTGAGGTCAAGGGTTTTGAAGGGGGCAGCATTGATATGAAAAGAATAAATAAACAAATATAGTATATTTAGTTGGTTAGCTGCAGAGAATAAAGGATTTGGGAACTTATACAAGGGACCCTAATTGTAATCTGGGGCTACTGGGGCTACGCATATGATTGTATCTGAAAAGTATTGTTTAGTCTCTATCCTCTCTTCTATCTATCTCTTGGCTCTGTCTCTTCTTTCTATTTCTCCTCTGTTTTCTATTCTGTTTTTTCTCTCTTCATCTCCTTCTACCATATCAACTTATTCAGGAAAATTCTATATTCCTCTCTATTTGAAAAATCTTGCTAGTTTTCTTTTTGACTTTTTCTTTCTGATTTTGTTGATTTTTATAAATCTAGAGAAAGAGGCAGTTTCTCTCCCCTTTTCTTTTTTTCTACTTCTACTTTGTATCATATTATATACTTTAGTTTCATTCTTAGCTCATGCTGCTAAGTTAGCTAACTAATTTTTCACTGACTACGGCTGTAATAGATGTCCTGTGTACTGCCTCCCTTCTGTTTCCATGTATTGAGTATGAAGATGTTGTGCTGTGTTATAGTGTTATGGTAGTCGTGCTTTCTGTGTAGGATAACTTTCTGATTCATTATTAAGCTATGGATCATGACAATGAACATTGTACCTGGCTCTTGGTCTGTCATTCTGCTGTAGGCATGCTCATACATTTTTAGTAAAATATTTTGAATTTCAGTTCTTCAGACTCTTCGGATATTGAATAAAGTGTTTTCATATCAGGTTATTGGGAGTTCACAATCTGTACAGGATGCTTTATTTCACATAACCAGTAGAATTCGAGAAACCATTTTCCCAATAAAGCCGCGCCTCCAAATTTTGGTGCACCACATCATTTGCCACCATTCTCGGAAATGCCGCCTCCTTTGTATAGGCCAAGAAATCATCCGATGTCCTCTAGTCACCCTCCTCATGTTGGACACCCTCATGGAATTGACCATTCAGCTGTTCCCCCACCACCTATTGATCCTCAACATTCATATTTCCATGGCATGGGACGTGGTCCACCAAACATGGATCGAGTTCCTTATCCTCGTGGATATGAAGGACCAAATTCTCCAAGATCATGGCATCCACAGGTCAGTTTGTGGTGATTTGAATATGCAGATTTTTTACAGAATTAGTTTTGATGTGAATCTTTGATTGGCAACTTTTTCTTTTGGCTTCTTCTTCTTTTGGCTTTTCCCTGTGTATGTTTTTATAACCTTTCTTTTGGTTTCTGGTTTTCAGGCAGTTAGCAGGGGAAATCCTGGGGGAACTGCTGATGCTTCCACTTTGGCTTCAAGAAATATGCCTCCTGGAAGGTGATTCTTTTATCCTGTTGATCTTTTAAAGGAGCTATATATGTTAGTAAAGCTGTTCTACCTCTTTCATTAGCAGTAATTTTCATCTATGTTCCCCGCTAATTATTCTTACTGCCCCGTATACTTGTATAATTAGCAGCATCCTGTAATCGTCATAGTTTTGGGTCTCTAAGCATGCCTTAGCCATGAGTTCCCCTTTCACTTTTTCCTTCCAGTCCCTTTTCCCAGCATTAAATTGATAGTTCTTTGGGTAAGCTTGGTCAGATTTTTAGTTATGATTTATTGGATAACGGTAGATGGGCTTTCTGATTGTAAGTTCTATACAACAGGAAGTAATAAGATGTTGTAAGCAGAAGTTTTCCTTTATTTAGCTCTGGATGTTCTTATATTTATGTATAATGATTGTTATTTCCAGGAATGGAAATCCATTACACAATATAACAAGCACCACTGTGGAGGTCACCATCCCCAAATGTATTTAACCCACGTTTATGGGGATAACAATAGCAACCTGTTTCAGATCCAGCAAGTATGTTATCAACTTCTTGTATGATTACTTGGATATGTAAATAAGGCTAGTTTTGGCTTGGGCTATGGAGAGCTTGGGCTCTCAGCCCTTGGATTGTCTCATTTTATAAGACACTTTTGGAGTTGATTCAATGTCTCAAAATAAAAGATACTTTAATAAAAATAAGGTTTCATTAATTATATTTGTTTCAATATTACGCTTCCCTCCTTATTATATTCTCTCTCTATTTAATGTTTTACAAATAACCTTATATTAAATTAAGGGTATTTTTTGAAATTTGTGTTCTGAAGAAAGATTATAGAGTGTATTTTAATGAATTTTATTGATATATGTAATTTTATCAAAAAGTGTCTTATAAATTATAATGAAAGGGAGTATATATCACTCAATTTTTGTAGTGCTTTAACATCTGATATTTTCTCAGATCTCTGGTGCAAATGTGGTGGTTCATGATCCAAATCCTGGGGCTACCGAAGGCTTGGTAATCGTCTCTGGTGCTCCTGATCAAACTCGTGCTGCTCAAACCCTTATCCAAGCTTTCATTTTTTGCGGGCAGACAGCAGCCTGACAAAATGAAACCATTCAATCTGTAGAAGATCATAGCGGTTCTTAGGTTAGGAGGTTCAGTGAGTATCATGTCTGGGTTTTCATGTCATGGTGTAAATTTTAGAGAAAATACATGATTCTTCACTTTAGTCTTTTAATTCATTTCTCTACATGAATTAGTTCCTCAAAGTTATTCTCCTTAGTTGGATAATATTTATTCTTCGCTCAAGAACTAATTTAATATGCGGTAAGTTGCAAAATTTTTGAAAAACTAATTCATTGGAAAAAAAAAGATCAGGGACCAAAGAATGAGGTATACTTTCTACAAAAAATTTATTTGTTCACTTATGTTGAATTTTCAAAGGTAATGTATCTATGTTATTTTGTATATTGTTTTTAGCACTTCAAAGTGAGTGGCTTGTGATCAGTATGAATCAGTTGCTTTATTTAGCAAGGAGATGACAATTTTTCTGTGTTGGTAAAGTGTCACATGTCACTAATTAACAGGGACAAATGCATTGAGATGCAGAATTATTAACATACTCAACAATAAAATCTTACTAGGAAACAAATCTTATCTCCCAAATAACATATTCACCTCCTAGCGTCAGAAACATGCAAAAATTAAAGAGAGAATACTTCCTAAGCACCATGGAAAATTAAGTAATTTAAGGGCGACTTTTACAGAACTATGCTTACAATCATGGTGGACAAATTATAAATACATTTATGCATCTAAATCATCACAAAACTCTGAATGCCATGTGTGTGCGTGTGCGTGAGAGAGAGAGAGAGAGAGAGACCACTTGATTTGTCATGCAAGATCTTATCTCCCAAATTTCTCTTTTGAGCAGGCTCCCACCATGTTTCTCCCAAAAACTGTTTGTAATTATGACTAGAAGTAGCATTTGTTAAAAATTAAGACTAAAAATTGCAATAAAAGGCATAATATAAAAATCCTGATCAACCTGTCCAATTAAATCGGTAAAACGTTAAATCAATATATCAACTCATCTAATAAAATACTTTGTTTAAAACAAGTTTAATTAAAATTTGATTACAGTTTTAAACATTAACCTTTAAAATAGTGCCTTAATTGATTTGCAATACCTTTTAAAAGGTCTATCAAGTCCTTCATAGAAAGGAAACACATCTCTCAATCCTTTCTTGGAATCCATGATCACATGTCCAAGAAGTATCTTGTGAAAATATTCAACAGCATCAACTAGAAACTGAATCACATTTTGGTAGACGGCATAACATAATCTACAAGAAGAGTGGGAGGCTTCTCCATTGCTTTCTTTCAAGCAAGCTCTGTAAAGTGAAATTTTATGCACAAGTTTGAGAAAAGGAAGAGAGGTTAAAAATACCCTTTTTTCATTCTTAAGACTGAGGGTGGAGTCAAAAACCACTTAACAAAATAGCAATTTCTAGTCCTTTGTGGAAAGAGATAACACAAACAGTAAGTTGTTCGATTTAAACACATTACAACATCAGGGAGGGCATTGGACCAGTTCATCAGCCCAAAGTTAATCAAAATCTCCAGGATAGACACTTAGTTGTCTGTCACAGAGCAAGAATAAAAGGCCTCTGCTAATATATTAAAGGGTAAAATATTGAATTTCCATGTCAGGATTTTGGTTAAATTGCAGTAAAAACTGACTCTTACAATTTACATCTTAAGGCAAGCACTCCCTGTCACTGCTTTTACATGGAATCAGCCTGTGCTAGGATACATATGTAAAGGTCTAGCTTTATGAACCACCAACATCTCTTGCCAATCTAAGAACTACCTTATTGGCCTCAACTTTTATTCTGCACATCATTCAAGAAGTGGAGAGTCAACCTTTTGCCTTTATGTAAGATCTGAACTTCTGAAAGTTGACAAGAAATAAATTAGCAACAAATTTTTTCACTTCATGGTTGCTTACCCCATTCCTATTTAATGAAGAATTGTGTCCAGGTAAGGGAGTTTTTGTCAGGTCCCTCAGAGTTCCCTGTGGTTCAGAAAATGAAAAAGAACACATCAACAAATAAGAGCATGATAGTGCAGATATTGCAAATTTTCTCTGCAATAATATAATTAAGAAATTTAGTCATATCTTAAAGGGAGAATCACATCCAAGCACTTCCCAAGAAACTTCTTCACAAACAAAGACTAATTACAAATCTCATTTGAGAAAAAATAAATCTATGTTCTCATTTTAACAATAATTCATTCCGTATTAGTCTTTATCTGCAAATAAATTTCTAATTAGATCCTTGGATGTGATTCTCCCTATTTTAAATGAAACAATGCAGATATTGTCCACAGGTTGTATGGTTGTCATCTCATTTTCTTCTCATTAAAACTTCTGTTTTCACGTAAAGAGTTGCATTGTGTACTTCTCAACAAATCTAGAATTTGGTGAAAAAAGGGTCATCCTGACCCCCACTTGTGCTCAGATATTCACACCTTACCTAAATTCATGTCAATGACAAATAAACTTTTGCAACATTAAATAATGTCACTCCATGGCCTTAATCAAAAGTGAGCACTCCCCTCACTCAGCCCGTGAATATTATAATAATAATCACTAATGAAAACATGCATACGTATCCAGTGCATCTTTTAATAATACATGACCAGCATAATGTAGCCTTTGCAAAAGACACCATTATAGTCAATAGGCAATGATATATCTCACTAAAATGTTGACTGACACACAATATATATATATATATATATATTAGCATACTTTAAAAACTGAATGATAATGTGACTACATAAAATGATAGTCATCTATATTTGCAATCGTTTCCTGAAATGAATATTTATTAACAGGACAACAAAGAAAACAATCAGCATGAGGAATAGGCAATGTACTAATGTTTACCTTGTTTGCCCACATAAGTCCACATGCATTGCAGAGGGTTCTTGGCCCTTCAGGTCCACGTCGCATCATTGGTGTGCATTTCTCACTGATGCCACAGTGCCTACAGCTGGAATATGCACACAAGATTCAAGAGATAGACTCAGCATCCAAAATGGACAAATGACTAAAAGGTTTTATTTTCATATGTAGAATCAACTGTCATAGAGATTTCATGTGGATTTGCGCCCAAATAAAAAGAGGAAGAGAAATAAATCAGAGTTTTATGCCAAAATATGGTCATTTTTCAAACGTTTGGTTTGGAAAGTTACGCTATTACACAGGAAAGCACTCACAGCAAAATCCAAAAATCATAGTATGGTAGAAAAGTCCTTTTCATTACTAAGTTCAAAGGGAAGAAATCTTAATTCCTTTAAAAGTTAAAATATTGCAATGACATAACTAACAAAAATGGCTTCTAATCAATCTCCATATATTTCCAAGGCATGTATTCTTTGCTTCATTTTTCTCTTGTTTTATTAATGAGTTCAGTCAGCTTACGCAACATCCTGCTGTTGGGATCCAGCATTGTCTGATGTCCAATTTTCATTTGTTACCAAATTTGTTGCAGCTGGCGCAGATTCATCAGGGTTCGACTTGGAAGACGTAAATTGACCTTTATTTCTCTGCATCCTATAAAAGTAACTCATAACAGTAAGCAAGTGGTGAAATTTAAAAAAGTATGTCAACAGTGAGAAAGTATTATATGGCAAAAAAGGAAACTAAGAAAGCTATGAATAAAGCTCTTTTTAAAAGCATTGAAGAGTTTTATGATGGTTTTGGGACGAAGGATGAAGAATAAAAAATTTATAAGACTGCTAAGAGTAGGGCAACAAAATCAAGAGATATGGAGGAGGCAAGGTGCATAAAGATGAAAAGTGAAGAGTTTTGGTCATAGATGATGATATTAAAGATAGATAGGAGACTTACTTTTTTAAACTTTTCAATAATGGAGGGGGTTCGTCTCGTAAATTGAAAAGTTTAGTAACTTGTGAAACAGAACAAATTTTGACATTCTATCAAAGGATACACAATAGTGAGAGAAAGGAAGCTCTTAAGAAAATGGCAAATGGTAGAGCCAATGAACCTAATTGTATCACTATTGAAATGTGAAAATGCTTAGGTGAAGAAGGGATGCAATGGCTAATTAAATTATTTAATGAGCTCTTACAATCCAAGAAAATACCTAAAAATTAGAGAAGAAGTACCTTAGTTCTTTTTTACAAAAAATAAAGAGAATATTCAGAATTGTGCTAACTATAGAGAGATTAAACTTATGAGACATACAATAAAATTGTGGGAAAGAATGATTGAACATAGGCTAAGATTAGAGACTAATATTTCTAAAAATTAGTTTGGCTTCATATTAGGTAAAGTGACTACAGAAGTGATTTATCTACTAAGGAGATAAGTGAAAAAGTATCAATGCTAAGGTAAAGATTTATATATAGTTTTCATTGATTTGGAAAAAGCATATGACTGCATATTGAGAGAAGTACTTTGGAAAGCCTTGAAAAAAAAGAAAGTTTAGAGCTATACAAGATATGGATGGGGGGCAACAGCTAGTATAAAAACATCTAGTGGTGAAACCAAGGACTTTCCAATAAGGATTAGACTACATCAAGGATCATCCTTAAGTCCTTATTTGTTTGACCTAATCCTAGATGTTTTGATTAAGCATATTCAAAAAAAAATTCCCAAATGCATTTTTTTTTGCATATAATAGTTTTTATCGCGAATACAAGAGAAGAGATTAATTGTAAACTTGAATTATGGAAGAGGACATTGGAATCAAAAGATTTCTACCTTAGTAGGAGTAAGATGAAATATTTGCATTGTGAATTTGATAAGAAGTCAATCAGTAGTAACTTGAAAGTGAAATTAGGAGATCAAATTACACCTCAAGTAGAAAAGTTTCGATATTTGAAAGCTATCATTCAATATGATGGAGATATTGCATATAAGATACAAGCTGGATGGTTTAATTGAAAAAAGACTAAAGGAGTTATTTATGATCGTAAGATACCTAATAAACTTAAGGGAAAGTTTTTATCGAACTGCTATAAGACCAATAATGTTACATGTCAATGAATGTTGAGCTCTAACAAGGGCAACAACAGCATAAAGTTAGAGTAACATGGATGAAAATGTTGATATGGATGTGTGGACATACACATAAACATAAAATAAAAAATAAGCACATACGAAAAAAAGTGAGCGTAGCACTTATTGAGAGAAAAATGGTAGAAAATCATTAGAAATGGTTTAGCTATATACAAAGAAGACTACAGGAGGTACCCTTCGGGAGAGTGGAACAGAGTACTTTGAGTTTTGTTAAGAGGGGTAGAGGAAAGCCAAAGACAGTACTTTTAAAAGTTATTGACTTATTGACTGAGACCTCTTAGTTAATTACATTTTTAAAAGTTTGGTAAATGATAGAACACAATGGCATCAAACAATCCATATAACTGACACCTAGTAGGATAAAGTTTGTTGTTATTGTAGTATATATAAATTTTCCAAATAACAAATGTCCAAAATATTATTCCACTCATTGAGAAAAGCAGGAGCAACAAGACAAAGTATTGGTTCAGTCAAGGATGAGATGGAACTCTCATCATTGTGACGTGATAACAAAATCCCAAACATTAAAAAAAAACTTGTTTGAAAATGTGTTTTCTATTACCTGTTTTAAAAACAAAAGAAGTTAAAAATTGTTCTGAAAATTTAAAAACTAGACCATTTTTTTTATGTTTTGTTACTTTTTGCTTTGCAAGACAAGGGAAAAAAAATTAGAAAGCATCATGTTTTCATTTATGGCGATTATGTTAACAAAATAAATAATTCTTTTACCCTTTATTTCACCACTTTAGATATGCTTATCATAATAATGATTCAAACAGATTTGTTTTTCCAAAACTTGTTCTAAAAAATTGCCTTACAGAATTGTTTTAAGAACATGAAAATAGAACAGAATCGAACAAGCCCTAAATTTTCAGGGAAGCTCCAATCCACATCTACCAAGATATAAATAACACGTTTTGCAGGCTTAAAGAACTTCAGGGGAATCATATCTCAATTTTTGAAGGAAAACATATTCATGCCCTCGCCAATACTCTCTTAAAAGTTACATTCTTTATAAACCAAAAATAGTGTGCTTCATTTCCAAGCCTCCATATAATGCAACAGACCTACATCTAGTTTTAACAAATCAGATGCCACAACAAGCAAATCTAGATGATTGAAGACTGATCAAGAATGAAGAAACTTGCCCAAATGATTTGATCTATAACATTTAACCATTATCAAAGTGCAAAAGAAACACGATAAACAATACAAGCAAATAAGTCCCTGCCTTTATAAGTGTAGCTTCATTTAAACTAAGAGGATTTTATTATCAATCCCAAATCATTAAGTACAGCAAAGAGATAGTCAACGTAAGCTTACTCTAGGTTAAAACTATAACAAGCATCATACCTTAATGCAACTTCTTTACGAACAGTGTAACGTATTTTTTTTTCAAAATTCCGTTCTTTCCGCTTTTCACGAAATCTAATCAAAGAGGCTAATCTCTGAGGGACACTGAGTTTTACTGGAGTCCCAGACATTTCCTGGTTAAACAATTTGTCAGCCAGATAGTTGTCAATCAAAAGATTCTTGATCATAATGCAACCATCAAAGACAGCGATACCCGATTATTATGGTGCACATTTATTGGATTTGCAGACATGGAAGGTACTTCGCGGCCTCCCAATAGTAATAGCACAGCTTGAACCTGAGAGTGAAACCATATGATTGTCAGAAATCATTTTCTTTAGCCTGTCAAACCAGGTAGGCAGTAGTCCATTATTATTAGGTTAAGAACAGATCATGGATTATCATAAGCCCCATTTACCCTTCAAAACAGCGATTTTTCTACATCTGTATATATGTCATAAAACATTGCTATGCATCATATCTGGATCAATTTCTCCACATTAAAATTGCTGCAGATTGACATGCATTGCATGTCTATACCTATGCACGTGCAGGAAGGGAGGCTACAAAGAATACCAGTCAACATTTCATGTAGGATTGTACTTAATCTACAATCAACAAATACTTTAAAGCAAGGGAAAATAGAGCAAACAATGGGCTGAATGAATAGTGCATATAGACTGCTCTCTTTTTATTGTCCATAACTGTCCACTATATACATCACAGCTATGTTTGACAAAGTGAATAGGCGTGGATCCAGAAATAGAAACTAATTAATCTACTTCGCTGTGATTTTATTTATTCATCAAATTCTACAGCTCAAGCATCCTCAATTAAGAATTTAGGTGTAATCATATGGACATCCTCTCACCCAAAACATTTTAAATCATTAAATTGAAATACTCCATTTGGACTTTTTTCCCCCAATGAAAGACATGTCAATAAATAGTTCAATCCTGCATATTACGTAAGACAGAACACAGTAAAAACACAAAGAAAGATCAGTTAATAATGCACCTTTTCTGGCGACACAGAGTCAAATACATAAACCTGGCCTTGAAAAGACAACGTGAGCTGGTCACCATTTGCTTGTTCAATTATTACACCATGATCGTCAGTAACATTTCCAGGGTTGGAAACTTCTTCTACACCCTCATGTCTGCTGACATTAGCATCCACACAATTGTTATTGTCTTCCATCCTATTCCCATCACTCATATGGTCCAATCCATGTTGTTCATTTTCTGGCACATACGGCACATGCATTGGATGTTGTGCATCACTCATGTGTATCCGAGAATCACTCCCATGAATACCATCCATAGTACAGAAAGAGCAAGAAAACACCTTTGGAAATGGAAGAAAGATTGATAGAAGAAAATCTGAAACAAAATAGAAGAAGAAAAAAAGCAAGTCACTAACTATGGAGAGCATTTTTTATTCTTGAAAATCCAACACACATTTAGGTAGTTAACTGCAATATGGTGTGCACACTACATGGCAACATAGGGAAATATAATGCTACCCATATTCATAAAGCGAGACGTAATATTTCATTCTATTTTATTTTGTTCTAAAAATGGATTATCTCAAAGGTTGGCATCCAACAATTGGCATGGAAACCAACAGAACCAGAGATAACAGATAATTATCACATGCCAGCATTGAACCTCGACATCAAGTCGGATAAATTCACTTATCACAAATTAAGTTTTAACTCAATCTTCGAGTGATTTCTCTTTCCTTTGCAGACGAGCAGATATTCCATCGCAGAAAAAGCAAACATCCTGTCTGAAAGCGTGCCCCATTACTAGAAACAGTAAAAATTTAGCCAGGACAATAAAATAGAGGGAAACAGCTAAAACAAGCAATGATGGACACATTTAGTGAATTAAACAAACTTTGCCAAACAATTCATCTAACAATAATCAGATAAACTTATTAAAAAGCAGAAAAAAGACAATACCCAAAACTTCAATCGCCGTTAACTAAACGACCCACTATAGATTCGTTTTGAATTGAGGCATAAGGGCAATAGAAGAGGGAACACAGGGGGGAAGGAAGAACTTGAACGAGCAGCACAAGCGCAGGTGATTGATGGGATAGCAGCAAGGTTTTGTCTTGATCTGCACAAGAACCCAGAAGCGAAGCCAGGCCTTCGCAGATGAAGTAATGAAGGAGAAGGATAAGAACAAGTGAGGAGAGGGGGGGGGGGGGGGAGCAAATGAGAGAGCAACGGGAAAAAAATGCCTCGGAATGGAAGCTCGTGTCTGGGTTTCGTTGTTGTCGAAAGTGGGAATTGGAGGGATATTGTGGTGAGGTGATGATGAGGAATGAGATCAGAGAGACATAACCCACTTTTCCAAGTCAACATTTTTCTTAACCCAATATTTCTTAACCCAATATTTCATCATTATGTGTATCCTCAGAGCCTCGACCACACTAATAATTTCGTACTGCAAATTGGTGTTTTTTTTTTTAAATGAGATTTGTAATTAATCATTACAGCTAATGCTTTTCTGAAATACTCCATCCGTTTCAAATTACAGAACAATTTAAAATAAAATTATTTATATCAGTAAAATTTAATAATAATATTTTACTAACTTGCTTTTTTAAAAATATAAATATAAATTTTTAAAAATATTTTTCATTTAATATAATTTTAAATTTATAAGCATTTCAATTATCTCTTTAATTGAAGGTAATATTAAAAAAATATCATTAAACAAATATTATTGTCAAATTATTTTATATTTTGAGATAATAAAATTCTTTTAATATTTTCTTATAATTTGAGATAGACAAAGTATATTACATTAGTCCCTCATCTTAAACAATATTGGACATTATTAAAAGGCTTCTCCTTCCTATCCTTATTATAGGTTGCCTTTTAGAATGATTTTTTTGGTTCTTAATATTACCTTTACTTGATAGGATATTAATCACATTTTTTTAATATTACTCCTATTTAAACTTATTAATTGTGAAAGAGAATATAATGCAAATTTTTAAAAAAATTATTTAAATAAGGATAATATTAAAAATTTATTCTATTTTTAAATAAAATTAATTACTTAATTGCTTTTACATGATTTTAATAAAATGGTTAAAAACGTCTCATAATATAAATATGAGGGAGTATACTTGATTTAAAATACAAGACATTGTGTAGTGTTAATTAATTTTTTTAGCCACTACACCTTTATTTTATTTATTATTTATTTTGAAAAAATGGTTTATTAAAATTTTAATTGTTATTATTAAGGCATCTAACAAGGGTATAATTAAAAAGGTATACAATTTTTTAAAAAAAATTAAGATTTCAACTAAATTTTTTTAGAATTAATTTCCAATGCTTTATATTGTGGATTGGATGCCTCATAGCATTTTGGATTGGAGGGAGAATTTAGGAGGAGGCAAGTTTTGGTAAAAAGAGAAATTTTTATACGAACGAGTACACTAGTTATTTATATACTATCTAATAAAAATAGGTTAAAATACATAAAATTTCTTAAAATTTGAAGCAATTTCATATGGCCTCCTCTCCTTTAAATTAACTCCCTAACATTTTATTTTTTATTTCAAAGTCCATTACCGTTAATTAACTCCATTATGTTATTAATAGAGTTCTCATATTAGATTAATCAAATACACATAGTACATGATATAAAAAATATTTTAATTAAATTTTTAATACAATTTAAGGAGGGACAAAATTATAATTTTTACTTTTAACACACATGGCGATACTCTCATTTTTTTTAATTGAGCAACATTATTCTCTTTATTCACTATTAACACAACTTAAGTGAAAAACTATAATTTTATTATTTTTTATCAATTAAAACAGCCATTTATATTAAACAAATGAAAAATAAAATATCTAAAAATTGTCATTAATAAGAATTATATGAATAAAAATTTATCATTTAACACAAGAAAACTATGCACTACTAATAAAAAATGAATAAAACTAATAAAAAATTAATATTTAAAAATTAATATAATTTTTATACATTTATTATTTGCTTATATAAAATGCTATGTAAGCTTCTATGTGGCTTTTCTTAATCCAATATGGAAAACTCTATTAATAACATAACAAAGTAATTAATGATAAGGGCTTTGAAAAGCATAATTAAAAGTTAAGGGGGTTAATTTTAAATGTTTAAAAATGAAGGGGTTATATTCAACTACTTCAAAATTCAAAAGAGTCTTATGTTTTTTAACTAAAAAAATATATCATGTCAAATGAATGTAAATATAAATCAATCCTTTCATTGATCATGGTAAAGAAATAAAGGACAAAAAACTAAAAAGATATTCTATTCCAAAAATAAAGTCATTAAAAATAATAATAAATAATATTTTATTTGATTGAATTAGTACAATGTTTTTTACAAAAGAGAAAGCAATGCCTAAATTAACTAAATATTACAATCACTTGGGCAATTTTATTGCATAGAGTATGGATGAAGTAGTACTCCAATATAGTCCATCCAAGAATTTCTCTATAAAAGTTACCATTTCCCTTTTTTTTAATAAAACGAAATCTTTATTTAAGTTACAATTTAATTTTTTCCCTCTTTTCACTTCTACCTCTAATTAATACTAATCAATTTTTAAATGTTACTCAATGTAAGCTAAGTCTTTTTATCCATTGAATAAATAGAGACATTTTAAAAAAATTAATACTCAGCTTGTAAATTATTTTATATAGAAGAATAGTTTTTTTTTGTCAAAAAGGTGATAAACTAAAGTTGAAATCCTCACTAAAAAAGATATCCATGTTTAGTATCTAATAGTATCTCGTACAAAATTATTTTCAATAAGAAGATACATGTAAGTAACAATATATATATATATGTATGTATATATATATAAAAACAACAAAAGAAGATAGAATGGAACAAGATGGATTGGTAACCAAAAACAAAATCCAGATGATAGGAATAATAACTCCAACCAAAACACAAAACCTCAACTATAGCTAGTGAAAAGGATCACAACTGCAACTGTGCTGCTGCAAAGACTGCAACCAGCCAAACATGTCATAATTAGAATGGGGTTCAAATTGAACTCGTTCAATGAATCATAGCTGGGAACCCAACCTTACATGATTTAGTAATAATGTGTTTGTTGTAGATTAGGGTGGGAAGAAAAGAGGAACTTTTGAAAGAAATAACCTTATTTGGTACCCAACATTTCACATTTCAAAAGTATGCTCTCACTTTTGAGATGTGGAATATTTTTTGGATATTTTTTTTGGGGAAAAAATGGACATTCCAGCTGTGCATCCAAGAAGTTGTGAAAGTGGATTTTGAAACGTGGGACATAGGAGCATTCAAAACGCAAATGAATGTTGGGGGCACTAATGAGCATGTAACTAATTTTGCATTTGACCATGCTTTCCTTTTATTCTTTTATTTAAAAAATAATGTTAATTTATTAAAAATATAATCATCATTTAAGTAGTAGTAATAATAATAATAATAATAATAATAATAATAATAATAATAATTAGATATTAAATTTTTAGCATTATTTAAACAAAGAGGCATGCCTTGATTTAGGTGAGTCTCTAGGACCCAATTCATCTAAACTTTTTCTTAATCAAAAATACATTGTCATATATATTTTTTGAATCATGTTAATGTTCAATATTAATATATGTTAAATTATTTATTATATATATTTTTCAATATATCAAACTTTATATTTATATTTTTTTAACATATCAAAATTTATGCTATTTAAATTTTTTATCTTGCTTTCAAACATTTCTAACATATTATATTTGTATAAAAAATTGCAAATCGTCATAAATCAATGTTATTTTTAGTAGTTATACATTTAAAAGTACATTTTACTTTATATAATTTAGACAATTTTATTTATCAAATTGACTTTTAAATGCAAATTTTGTTATAATAACTTATTCTTATTAAATAATTTTTGTCAAATGAATTTTTAACAAATTGACTTTTAACCAATGGAAAACCAAAATGCACTAAAATTGTTTTTCATGTCCGTCTAGGGGCAAGAAGGAGGAGGAATTTGTTCACTCACAAATGTTGATAAAGCAAACTAGTCTTGCCTCCATTAACATTTGTCATTCGTTATACTCTCTTCGTCCCAAAGTATGAAACACTTTTAAGGGGATTTGATATCATAAAATATAAGACACTTTAACAACAATAAAGTTTTATTAATAATATTTTTTTAATATTATCTTTTCTATTATATTCTCTCTCTAATATTTTTTTATAAATGGAGTATTAAATGAATGTTATTTTTTAAATTTTAATTTTTGTTTTAAAAAATAAAGTTATAAAGTATATTCAATAAACTTTATTAACATGTGTGATTTTTTATTTAAAATCATCTTATATTTTGAGACAAAAAAAGTGATTAGTTTTGATTTGTGTCAACCCTATAAACAAAAGGCAGGTGCTCACAATCAAAACATCAAGTTACCCATTGCAGTTGGGATTTTTAAAGTAGTGGAAACAAATGCACCTTTTATATTATTATGTCTCTTGAATGTCAAGTTGTTGGTTCGACCTTATAATTTCACTACTCCTTTAATTTTTTTTTAAATTTTGTTTGTAAAAAATCAATTTTAGCTCCCATATTTTAGGTTGTTATCAATCTTGCCCCCTATGTGCATTTCTGGATTCGCTACCATGGATGAGTATGTGAGCTCCTTTCATTGGGTGAAGGATGTTTAAAAAAAACAAATAAAAGAAAAGAGGAAGAGTTTTTTAACAAAATATATATTACCATAACCTTAAGCTGTGTCTGAGGGCCTCTAATAATATAACATATCATTGCATTATAATATTTAGGTGAGTTTACTGAAATGCTTTACTTGCTCGCCAATGGCCCTGCATATCTGATCCACCATTTTGAATATGATTATTTGATTTTCCATTATTTTTTATTTTTATAATACTACTGTTATTTACTATTTTTCCTACTTATATATATGATTGTTATATCTATATTGTTATTTATTGAAATGCTTTTTAATGCTTATCTAATTTTTATTAGTCACGCAACAAAGTTTACTAAGAAATGCCTCTTTACTTATTTATTAAAAGCTGCCTCGGTCTTCAACTCTCTCCAACATTATTTTTATATTATATATATTATTATATTATATTAACTTCTAATTATAATTAAAGTTTCATTCTTAGGTTGCCATTTGGTAGTGTTGTGTTATAATGGATAGCAACAACAATACAATTGAATCTATT